CCCTGGGGAAGGGGATGAGTTCTAATTTTCAGGCTTATTTTTATTTTTATTTCCTTTTTTTTGTTATGGTTCCTCATTAGAGTTTTTCATTTTTTTCTCGTGAATTGAAAGTATTATAAATGGGCAATGCAAAGTGCACCTGTCGTTAATAGGTACAGACATGCCACAATAGGAAGAACCTTTCCAAGCTCCCTCCGAGATGCTCTGGCTTTTATTTGTTATTTAATCCTCACGCAAGGATATTTTTCCATTGATTTTTGATAGTGTGGAAGGGAGGTAGGAAGAGAGAGAGAGAAAGAGAGTGAAACATTGATGTGTTGATATGAGAGAGACACAACGATTGGTTGCTTCCCAAACGCAACCCTACTGGGGCCGGGGATCAAACCCAGGTATGAGCCCTTGACCTGGAATGGAACCCACAGTCCTTCAGTGTGCAGACCTATGCTCTATCCACTGAACAGCACTGGCCAGGGCCACCCTGGCTTTTTTGTTGTTAATCCTCACCCAGGATATTTTCTCATTAATTTTTCGAGAGACTAGAAGGGAGGGGGAGAGAAAGAGAGAAACATCGATATGAGAGACACGTTGCCTCCCACATGTCCGGATTGAGGCTGCAACCAAGGTATGTGCCCTTGACTAGAATCAAACCCACTCTACCCACTGAGAAAACTGTCTAGGGCCACCCTGGTTTTTAAAAAATATATTTTTATTGATTTCAGAGAGGAAGGGAAAGGGAGAGATAGAGAGATAGAAACATCAATGGTGACTGAGAATCATTGATCGGCTGCCTCCTGCACGCCCCCAACAAGCCTGCAACTAGGGCATGTGCCCTTGACCAGATTTGAACCTGGGACCCTTCAGTCCTCAGGCCGATGCTGTGTCCACTGAGCCAAACCAGGTAGGGCCACCTTGGCTTTTTAATGGCAGTATCACTCTCCCTGGTTTTGTACCTTAAGATTAAAATATCTTTTACACCTGACTTCTTTCCTTTCATGTTGTAGTTATGAGATTTATTCATATTTTTGTGCACAGTTGTAAATCATTTACTTTATTAGTAGAACATTACATTGTATGAATATGCTGCAGCTTTTTAATTTACTGTTGATATGTACTTTGGTTTTATGACTAAAGCTGCTGTAAACATTACATATCTTAGTGGTGCATCTGGAGCACACATGTTCAGCTTTAGAAGTTAGTTAATTACTGATAGTGACAGTCAGGGCTTATAGTAGTTAGCATGCCAGTGCTGTGGGTTCTGGTTGCTCCCCGTCCTCAGCAGCACTTGGCACGGTCTGCTTTTTTCATGTTTGCTTTCTGGAGAGCATGGAGTGTAACGTTGGTGTGGGATAGTTCTTACTAGCATTTCCCAGGTGACTCATGAGGATGAGCACCTTTTGTATCTTTTTTTGCCTTTATTGCCTATTTGGAGATCCTCTTTTGTGAAGTTGCTCTTCATGTCTTATGTCTTTTACCCATTTTGTAAACATTTTCTGTAAAAAGCCAGATAATAAAATTTTTTTTGGCTTGGCCTATAGTCTTGCTGGCTGCTGTTCACCTGTGCTGTTGAAGTGCAAAGTGGTACATAAGTAGGTGGGATTTGGTCTCTCAACATCTGTTGGTCCTGGGGTCTGTCTTTTTCTTTCTGATTTGTAGCAGTTCTTCATATATTTTAGATGAGTCCCTTATCCTGTATGTGGATTGCAGATATCTTTTTTTTTTTTTTAATAAGAGAAAGTTTATTTAGAAAGGCACAGAGGTAGAAGTGAGCCCTAGAAGAAATGGGCTCAGGAAACAAGTTACAGAAAAAGAAGGGCCCCTGGAGCTTAGGAGAGACAGAGATGGACTTGAGAGAGGAAAGAGGGAAGAGAGGCTGTAGTGTGCTGGGGGCCGGGTGGGGAAAGCGGGGGGTGGGGAAGACACTAGCGTGCTCTGTAGAGAGTCTCACAGATACCTTTTTCCTACTTTGTAGGTTGCCTTTTCAGTTTCTTGGTGGTGTCTTTGAGGAACAGATGTTTTTAATTTGCTATATAGTCCAGTTTATCTGTTTTTCTTTTGTAGTTAGCACTTCTGTGTTCTGTTTGCGAAATTTTTGCTTACCTCCACATCACTATAATGTTTACTTCTGCTGCTCTTTAAAAGCCTATTATTTTGCCTTCATATTCAGATCTTGTGAGAAATAGCTCACCTGTCTGAATTTCAAATGATGGACTCGGAAACGGAGGTATGGAGAAAATGAGACCTTTAATACACGCTTAAGAGTGGGCATCCATTGTATAGGCTCACACATGGAACAGGGAACACAGCTTATTTATTTATTTATTATTTTTAAAATATATTTTTATTGATTTCAGAGAGAAAGGGAGAGGGAGAGATAGAAACATCAATGATGAGAGATAGTCATTGATCAGCTACCTCCTGCATGCCCCCTACTGGGGATTGAGCCCGCAACCCCATCATGTGCCCTTGGTTGGAATCGAACCTGGGACCCTTCAGTCCACAGGCCGATTCTCTATCCACTATCCACTGAGCCAAACCGACTAGGGCACAGCTTATTTATTTAGTCCCTCCTCCGGTTCCTCATTGGCTGAGTACTATGAAGTCACCTGTTTCCTCATATGTCACCTAGGTCTTGCTGTCTCCCATTGGGCCATTTAAAAAAATTGGGCTAAGGCCTTTCTAGCTGACTCCCCCTCCCCTGTCTAGCTGAGGCAGACCCCTGGGGGGGTTTCCACCATAATGCTGGCCCACATGCAGTTCTTTGTTCCTACATCCTCTTCCCTCCTCCCCACATTCTGCTTGCCCTGGGGAAATTCGGCAAATTCCATCAGAAGCCGACCATGCTGGAATGGATCACAGAGGTCCATTTCTTATAGATCTGTTATCTCTCTTTTTTGTGTATGATGTGAGGTAGGAATAATTTTCCCCATATTGATATCCAAACGACTCAGCCTTATTTTGAAAAGATTCTTCCTTCCTCCTGTGCAGGTGTCACCTTGGTCCCATGAGGTGCCTACTAGAACATTTGAACTCATTTCTGCTGGAAAGCGCTCATCACACCTTCAGTTCTAGGGCTGTCATGGCCCTGAGCACAATGTGTCTTTTCTGTTTTGCCTTTTCAGATCCCACCTGCACAGCCAGTCTGTCGTCACGGTGATAGGTGATGAGGAGCATTTTGAGGACTATGGTGAGGGCAGTGAGGCAGAACTGTCCCCAGAGACCCTCTGCAATGGGGAGCACGGCTGCAGAGACCCTACTTTTCTCACCCCCAGGTAATGCATCCCTGCACTGGCGTACGTGTCCTCCTCCCGCTCACCCCATATTTAGTTGTGGGGAAGTTTCCCCTTTTGGTTCATAAATTGGTAAGAGAGAACTTGTTTTATTCATTGTAATATAACTAACATACACAGTCAAAATTTTATTTTTATGCCTCAGTGAAAGTTAGCTGAAGTTTTTCTCATCCACTTACATTCCCAGATTGCTCCACATTTATGAGGCTTCAGCTGAACCATGTGGCACAGAACCTGTGTTGGGACACTCGGCTTTGTGGGTTCCTTAGCCACTAGTTGTGATCTCATTATGGTTGGTAGCTGGCTTTGAGGGAAGCTATATGAATATGTGCATGTATGTATAAGAGAGCATGTAAGTTCTGCTCTCTGTTTTACATTAGATCCTCAGCCTTATTCCTCTTGCAGCTAAAAATATGTACCCTTTGGCCAGCCTCTGAGGGAGCCTTGAACATCACAAACAATTCTTTGATTCATTTCCTTATAATTATCTGACATCCCCAAACTGTCTGGAAAGTTCTGGCTTTGCACTGAAATATCTAAAAGGTGAGATCCATGCTTATGGAGCTGGCTACTCCCCAGCTGTCCTTCCTCTCGGGAGGCCCTGGGAAAAAGCCAGCACTTGTATCCAAACAAGGGGTCTAAATGTGCTTTGTCCTGTGGGCCTGGCCGCCTTCACTGGTGGCGGCACATCAGAGAACATGTCTTCTCTTCAGGTGAGATCCCTGCCTGGCTGAACAGACTGCACTTCAGTCACCTCCTTTGCACCCGGTTCTTGAAATTCTCCATCTTTGCTGACAGCAAAGGCCGAGTATCTTGAAACCATCAGTTGCAAGATTCTTCCTTTGCCCAGACTGTAACCCACACCTAGAAGACCTGGGTAGGGGCCAGTGCCAGGAGGGTCTGCCTGACGGGGTCCCCCCTTGCTTTCTCCATGTACTATCCCCTAAGCTGCCCACCAGCGTGGGGATAGGAGCCTTTCAAAGGCATCTCTAGGAGTGTGAGTGAGTGAAGTGGTAGCTTCCTTTCAGTAGCTCTCCTCTTCCCATATGCACACTTGTGTTGGTGTTAAAGTCAAGGCCAAAGGACTTGGCATTGCTAAGTGTGCGTTTCTGTCCTGTTTTGGTAATCTCTTCCTATTTGTTTAGTTTGTCCCTGTCTCTTGTCCAGTGTCTCACTGATTTTTGTCTCAAGTGTGACTTTTGTGCTACAATTGATGTTTCACTTTAAACGTTCTTTTTAAAAAATATGTGTTTTTATTTGTTTCAGAGAAGAAGGGAGAGGAGAGAGAGATAGAAACATCAATGATGAGGGAGAATCATTGATTGGCTACCTCCTGCATACCCCCTACTGGGGATCGAGCCTGTAACCTGGGCATGTGCCCTTCACTGGAATCGAGCCCAGGACCCTTCAGTCCGCAGGCCAACACTCTCTCTATACACTGAACCAAATCAGCCAGGGCCACTTTAACCTTTCTTCAAATCGAACTTCCAAATTGGCTTAAATTTTTTTTAATCCTCACTCAAGGATATATTTATTGATTTGAGAAGAGAGAGAGAGAGAGAGAGAGACATCAATGTAAGAGAGAAACATCAATCAGTTGCCTCCCATACATAACCCAACCAGGGATTGAACCCAAAATCTAGGTATGTGCCCTGACCAGGAATCGAACCTGCAACCCTTTTGGTATATGGGCTGATGCTCCAACCAACTGAGTCACGTGGCCAGGGCTCAAATTGGCTTTTAAAAGCCTGTGGGTCCTCATGCCCCAGAGACATTGCTGCCTTCTGGCCAGTGCATCGCCAGTGCCCTGAACGCCCAGGGAGGCTAATAGAATTCTGACTTTTTAACAAAGGTCTTAAAAAAATAACAGAATTGTTGGTGATTCATAATTCATGTGTAGTCTTTAATATTGGTGGGGTTTTGTTTGTTTAAAAGTATGTTTTTATTGATTTTTTTTGAGAGAGGAAGGGAAAGGGGGAGAGAGAGAGAAACATCGATGAGAAAGAAACATCGATGAGAGAGAAACATTAATCAGCTGTCTCCTGCACAGCCCATACTGGGGTTGAGCCGAAAACCAGAGCATGTTCCCTGATCAGGAATTGAACCAGTGACCTCTTGGTGCATGGGTTGATACTCAATCACTGAGCAACACCAGCTGGGCTTTCTATTGCTTCTTAGAGAGAGTGGAAGGGATGGGGAGAGGGAGAGGGAGAAGGAGAAGAGGAGAAAGAAACATTGGTATGAGAGAAACACATAAACTGGTTACCTCCTGCAGGTGCCCCAACAAGGGGTAGGGGGCGAACCTGCAACCCAGGTACGTGCCCTTGACCGGGAATCGAACCCAAGACCCTTTGGTGCGCGGGCCGACACTCTAACCACAGCCATACCGACCAGGGCTGATATTGGTGATTTTAGGAGCGTATTAAAGCAGTTATAGTATAGTGAGTAAAACTGCACCTGGAGACATGCTTTGCGCTCACATTGATGAGTGCTTAACCAAGGAGGAAGCAGTGTGTCCAGGCACTTACTTCCTGTTAAGGGTACTTGATGGGCCACTTTGTTTCCTCTGAGCATCTGACCAGGAAGGAGCAGGTGTGTGGCTGAGCCCCCTGCAACTTAAGCGGGCGTATGTCATGGGTCATAGGTGACGTTGAGGGAGGTGGGTTTACAGCAGTCTGAAAGTTAAGAGTCAATCTTCCACCGCCAGTTACCTGACAATATGCTTTTGCCTGGCCAACTCTAGCCCTGTGTGGAGTCACGGGTAACCTGAACAGTCCTGGCTGTTTCCTGAACTGACACTTCTTGTCTCTCTAGCGCCGACCCGCTTGCCACAAAGCTGCACAGCATCCTCACTGATGAGGCCTTTGAGTTTTACTGTAGCCAGTGCCATAAACAAATCAACCGCCTAGAAGATCTTTCCGCTCGCCTGAATGATCTTGAAAAGAATAGGTAACTGATGTAGTGCCTGGCCCTGCTCTATGTTCCAGGGTGAGGGGACTCTTGTCCACAGCTGCCCTGGCTGGTCTGGCCCCAGGTGCCACTCACTTGGGCTAGCCCACTCCGGGGGTGGGGGGACTTCCTCGTGAAGGTGAGCATGCAGATGCCGGACTCTTCCCTAGCCCCGCCTCTCCCTCCCTGCATGCGTTGAGCCTGTTTGGTGCCCTTCACCCTACTTGCTCCTGTGTGCATGCTGCAGTCTAATCAGCTGCTTCTTTCCCTTCGGGAGGAAACGAGGGAGGACACGATCTTAGATGCTATGTATCCTGCGTAAGGAAGTCCAACTCATGAAAGTCTGTTCTTAGAAAGAGCTACTTTCTTCATTTTACTAAAAGATTTCTTTAATTGGGAGTCACATGAAACAACATGGGAAAGTTAAAGTAAGATTTGGTCTTTCAAAACAGATTTGCAGTCAGCTTTCAGGATGTTGTTTTAAATCAGGTACGCATTCTCTAGGTGAGCCCCTATACTGAACTTGCTTTCGTAAGGCTGCCTCAGACGCCGTTTCAAGAAGAATCCAGCTTGGCTACCCTTTTTTTAAAACAGGACCCCAGCATGTTTTGCTGCTCTCTGCCCTCATCTGTCTGTTCTCTCTCCTCCATCTCCTGGGTCCAGTTTATGTCAAACCATTTGCTTCCCTTTTCATCCCCAATACCCAATTCCAGCTCAAGTCAGAGTTTCAGAGTTTCAGCAGTTCCTTTTGCTGGCTTCTCACAACTTCACAAGCTCCAGTTAGAGAAAACATTTTTGGGTAGTTTGCATATATTGACATGCTCATTAAGCATATTGTTGATTTAGCTGGTCATACGGGCAAACCCCTGGGTGGGCCACTTGGTATGTGCTGATCAGGACTGTGGGCTCCCAGGCAATAATCCAGGGAGGCTTCTTGGAAGAAGGGGTGGAAGGTTACATAAAAATTGGCAGAAATTTGAACTATCCTGATGGCTTCAGTGTGTTTAGAGTAGTCTTCTAAAAACCTCTTACATATCTTGAGGAGCCTTCCCCTTTGGGGCCTCAGCCAAGGCCAACTCGGTCTTTCTGGTGGGTCCTCATGACCTTGGTCCTGTTGTACCTGCTGTTCTGCCTCTGGTTCCAATTCCAGTGCGTTTTACGTGTTTGACACTTTTTCTTATGTTCTGTGCAACATGCCAACACAGGCCGGAGTCCAGCACATGCCCATTAGGTGGGCCCCCACATTTGTGGCCCATTGGCAGCTTCAGAAGGGAGCCTGGTGGATTCCCAGCAGCACTGATGAGAAACTGGAAGTGTTCTTTGAGGGGTGCCTTCCAGGGAGACTTAAAAAATGTGGTGTCTTGTGATCCCAAAGATCCAGTGGCCTCTGTTTTAGGGAAAGACAGTTTAACCTCTTTTACGTGGGTGCTCTGGTGTGGGGTCATTTATCCTTTCCATGTGAAGACTTGCCTTCCTGTTAAGTAGGTTCCAGTACAGGTATGTCATCTCTTATTCTCTGAAGATTTTTGACATAGAAATGATCTTTTCCCATATGGAGAATCTGTCCCAGGACTGACATGGTCACCTCTGCTAGGCTTTGTGGGGGCAGATAATAGACTGGGACGTGGCTAGTATGGCCAGCAAGTCTAGTGGGATCTCACCTCCACTTTCAGCCACCCATTCCCTAAGAAAGACTCTACCAGGTTGGTTAATATATCATTAAAGTTATTACTATGATCAGGACACAGCTGTCAGTCATTTCCCCGTAAACACTCAGTTAAAGATATCTGAATCTTGCCTGTTGGTGTCCATGGAATTGCCTCAAAATAAATGTATTTGGTCATGGTTTGTGGAAGATAAAAGGTGATTTAATCCAAACTGTATCTGGATGCTTTGACGTCAGATATAATTTCTACTCTGTGAGCTTCAGAAGATGCTGATAGCTATCATGTTTTCCAGGTACCTGGGACCCTCTGTAAAAACAATTAATTTTACAAAAATGTTGTAGATGTCTGCTTTACCCAGAGGCATATTTTCACATTATAAACCCAGTCACTGGACTGCCAGTCTACTCCCTGAGAGGTTGGTGAAGTTATGGCTAACTATAACAAGGGGTCAGCTAGTAAGAGTAGAGAGAACTTGGAGGAATGTAGGAATAGCATCTATACAAAACAGCCAGCCCACCCAGCTCACCCAGGGCTGAGATCCGACCCTGCTGTAGAAGGTGTAACCATGGCAAACTGGGTGGCAAGTATGTCACTGTGGTGCCTCATGGATGAGGGGCTATGGGAGGCGGTGGGGCTGTGACTTGAGATCTACCATCTAGAACTTGCTGGAAATCTGCTCTCTGGCTGCCAGGAAAGCTATTCATTGGAGGAGTCTCACCAAAAGTATTTTGCTACAAAACTGCCATAGGATGTGTCGGGAAGCTGCTGGGCACTGGCAGCTGCTGGGTGCTGGCACCAGGGAAGTTGCCCAGGGGGGATTTTGGAGTGTGAAGTATTAGTGCCTAAGTTAAAACCGATGACAACACTTTATGTTACAAACAGGCCCATGTCATGTTTCATGTGGGGGCCCACTGTTTGGAGGGTAATTGGCTTCAAAAGCATTTGGGATGTGGCATTGGCCAATGACTTGGACCCAGTGCAACCAGCTGGAGGGTGTAGACACGGGGCCAACCTCTGACTGAGGTCTGATTGTGGCTCTATTGGAAGTTTCTTTGGGGCGTGAAATAATAACACTTTGCTGAGTCCTTGACAAGCCCCTGCAATTGCGCCCATGTTCCTGAATGTTTTGCTGAGTGGGCCTTTCTGTGCATGGAGCTGGCCTGGCAAGCACGGTGCTGCATGCCTATGGACGCACCCCCATCCCCATATCTCTTCAGCCCGAATTTCCTGTTTCCTCCCGTTCCTCCCTGTCTGTTCTCTGACACGATTTTCCTGTTTATTTTGATTTTGCACAGTCCAACGAAGCGGCTCTCCAGCAAGAAGGTGGCAAGGTAGGAAACCATTGGTTACTTATTGAGATGTTCTTCTGAAATGTATCACTAATTATAGCTCTTTTCAAAAACATGTTTAGAAAATACTGTTTTCCAACGTATTATTTTTTAAACTTTTGAAAGTTGCTTCTCATGGTTTGAGATTAAAAATAATTCAAGGGGATGGATTGTCAGAAGAATTTTCAAAGCTGTAGTTTTGGACCTGAATTTGTAACCAGGAAGTTTATGTTGAAAGTGTTTGACATCCCTTCTGTTTTATTGCGTATTCACCAACAAGGTCCAGAAGGGGGCCCATATCTCCATGTCTGCTGAAGAGAGAGTCTGTGAGGGGCCTGATTTCACAGACCCAGAACATGATGGCGTCCAGGTCTGGATCTGCCTTTTGCACCTCCACTGGTTCCCCAGGGTTACAAGAGGAAGGAGAAGTGCCTAACTCTGGGTTTCTAAAGAACATTCTTCTGTGATCATTTCTTCATTCTTCAGTTTTGGATACTGTTTATTGGCTTCCTACAGTGAAAGATGACAGCACATACATTTATCCTCTCCCCTACTATGCTAGTTCTAAAAGCAATTTTCACAGAGTTTATAAGGTGCCAGCATTCTCTATAGGAACCGTGTACTATATTTCCTTTTTAAGACAAGTCATTGTTTCTCCTGGAGTCAGTGATTGTCTTCATGTTTTTATTTGCTTCATCTTTTTTTTTTTTTTTTTTTTTTTTTTTTTTTTTTAATATATTTTATTGATTTTTTACAGAGAGGAAGGGAGAGAGATAGAGAGTTAGAAACATCGATGAGAGAGAAACATCGATCAGCTGCCTCCCGCACATCTCCCACTGGGGATGTGCCCACAACCCAGGTACATGCCCTTGACCGGAATCGAACCCGGGACCCCTCAGTCCACAGGCCGACGCTCTATCCACCGAGCCAAACCGGTTTCGGCTGCTTCATCTTTTTAAAGTAATATTTATTCTGTGTTTTCTCAACTCTTTTTTTAAATTTAATTTCATTTTTAATTATTTGTTTTCTCTTTATTGATTAAGGTATTACATATGTGTCCTTATCCCCCCATTGTCCCCCCACTCCCCCACTCATGTTCTCACTCCCCTAGTGTCTGTGTCCATTGGTTAGGTTTTATTTTTATTTTTTTTAAATATATTTTATTGATTTTTTACAGAGAGGAAGAGAGAGGGATAGAGAGTTAGAAATATCGGTCAGCTGCCTCTTGCACACCCCCTACTGGGGATGTGCCCGCAACCAAGGTACATGCCCTTGACTGGAATCGAACCTGGGACCCTTCAGTCCTCAGGCCAACGCTCTATCCACTGAGCCAAACCGGTTAGGGCTAGGTTTTATTTTTATTGTTGACACTAAGATAGATGTTCCCATTCCCCACTGCACCTCTCAGCCCACCTCTACCCAGCCCTTGTGTCATCTTCTGTGCTGCTCTGCCCAGCCCTCTCACAGGGCCACGTGGCAGCCCTGGGCCTATTGGCCATTCCCCCCCAGAGCCTCTGCCCTTTGCACAGGTGTGTGCAGGCTGCATTGCTGTGGTCCTATTTCCCCCACACACGTGGTGGGATCCAGATATTTGTTTCAGGTGTTGGGTCATTTCACTCCCTGATAATCTGTCTTCCTTTTTTCTAATCTCCATTTTTTGTCCAGCATATATTCTTGTAGCTTGTTGGAAAAAGAGGTAACCAGGAGATAAGTCCCCCCCAACCCCCACCAGGAGATAAATGTTGAGACCTTGCTAGATGTCTTACTCTTATAGTTTGGCTTAGTCTAGAAATCTGGATTGTAAATGATTTCCCTTTAGAGTGTTTTAAGGCGTTGCTCATTACCTTCTGGTACTAGGACTGCTGCTGCTGAGAGATCTAATGCTTTCTCATTTTCCCTCTCTGGGAGCTTTTAAGATGTTTTCTTTATCCTGGTAGGGATCCGTCCTGTGAGTTCTTATTCCCCTTAATTATGCTGGGCTGAATGAAAGTTGTGTCGTTTGATTGTGGAAGCTTCTGTCCCTTAGTTTTGGGGAGCTTTGTCAGCCTGTTTCTTTGACAGTGTTCTCTGTTCCACTTTCTGCTTTTTCTAGGACTCCTGCTTGTGGCTCCACATGCCTTCATCCTGCTCCCCCTATGCCTCTCTCTACTCTGGCGTTGTCTCCTGTGACCCCCATGCCACCAGCTCTTCCTCCCCATCTCTTCCCTGGGTTCTCATCTGGGCTCTGCCATTCTTGTTTGAGGCCTCTCTCCAACAGCTGGGGGTACCCTCTCTGTGCGTATTGAAGTGGTTGCTCACAGCTGGCCAGCATGTGGTGTGGGCAGACCCCTGTGTCAGTAGGTCTTTTCTCCAGCCATGCTGGCCAATTTCCCCAGAGTGAGTTCTGCCTGGCTGCCAGCTGCCAGCGTTTGGGGAGCTGTGCTGGGCCCACCGTTTAGTTTGCAGACTGGGGTGCATTCTGTTTGTAAGCCATGTGTCCTGAGTCCAGGGCTGCTCCTGGTCTAGGACAGTCCTTTTCAAGGGTGCAGTGGGTGCTGCCCCTCCCATCCTCAGTGCTCATCTCTACTCTCCTGTTCTCAGGTGCCAGTCCTTCCTGGGCTTTCCAGAGGAAGCGCTGGCTCCAGTGTCTCACTGGCTCACTGCGGCCCTCCTCTGCCCTCCAGTGCCCAGGACATTTGTCGCTCTTTTTTCCACTGATTGTTTGAGAGAGTGGAAGGAAGGGAGGGAGGGAAGGAGGGGGAGAGAGAGAGAGAGAGAGAGAGAGAGAGAGAGAGAGAGGGAGAGAGAGAGAGAAACATCAGTGGGAGAGAGAGACATTGACTGGTTGCGTCCCACACACACCCTCACCAAACCTGCAACCCTCAAGGGTATGTGCCCTTGACTGGGAATCCAACCTGCGACCCTCTGGTGTGGGCCGGCGCTCTAACCTCTGGACATCTCTTTCCTGGTGCCATTTTCTCTTCTGTTCTCCTTGTTCTTGGGCATGTAAACATTTTGTGTGTGGTTTTTTCTCCTCTATCATCTTGAGGGCTTAGGATCCAGAGCAAGCATAGCTGCATATCATCAATTCACCTTCTCCATTTGTTTTCTCACATCACCCCTTTCAGAAAAGCATCCAAGCTCTTAAGGGTATAATATTAATTCCAAACCACACTTTATTACAGTTTTAACATCACTTTTATATTTTACCCCAGATAGGCTACAGCTGGTGAAACTAAGGAAGGTGAAAATCTGAGTCATCTCCTCTCAGCCTCCCACATCTGGGACACTGAGGGCCCCTGGGGTTGTTGAGGGCCCAAGCTGCCTCGACGGTTGGGCTTTGTGTCTGCTCCCTCCATGAAACACCCTCTGAGAACTTAATTTTTCCTTCACAGATACCCTGTGGTATAGAAAAGCCCAATCTGCAGGAATGTGCAGTTAGAGTTTACAGAGGCATATTTTGTGGTCGGTACAAACATACCTTGCAGATGCAATTTTAATCTGCTGCTGTTTTGCCCTCAGTACCACCACCAGAATTTTAAGAAAACTCAAAATAACTGTTGTAATTTCACTCTTCACAGTATTTTAGCCCTTTGCACGTGGCAGGGTGGCTGGAGTATGGGTTTTGGAGCCACCAGCTCTGGCCTCTGTGACCTGACTTGTATCCAACATGGATGGAAAGGGCTCTGGGGTCGGTGTGCCAGCGAGAACCGCACTGGCACACAGCCAGCCTCAGGACCAGAGGGAGCGCCAGTGGGACTGCCCAGAGCAGAAAGCAGGTCTTGACACGAGTGTCCTGGCACCTGCCGGACTTCACCTGCCTCCCTTTGGGATGATCAGGCATTTCCCATAGTCCTCTCTCCGGGTAGGCCTCCATAGGGGTGGCTTTAAATAAACAAGACCCTCACCCACAGTGCCAAGAAACCTTGGCCTTTCCCTGAGGCAGCCACATGCTGGGGCCACACGCTGGGTGCTTGGGGACTGGGTACAACCGCCCATTCCCAGGTTCAGCTGTTCAGAAGTGCCGTGAGCCCCTAGTAGAAGCTCAGGATTGTGGGTCAGGCCCTAGGCTATAGCCCCTCCTCAGCATGGTCTCTGGGTCTGGGGTGGGCAGCTTTCTATCCCAGGATTGGCATCAGGAGCTTGTGTTTGAGGTCAAAGTCATTGGTGTTTGAGAACATCAATTGGACAAGAACATGGTGGCCCTGCCCTTAGGGTTCAGTGCCCTTCAGGGAATCAGATGAAATCCAAGGGGTGCTCCTATGTCTCACCAAGGACACATTTAAGGGACTCGTGGTCCCCAGGGATGAAGATGCCCTTCTTTTTTGTTCCCCTTAGAACATTTCTGGAGTCAAAAAAATTTTAAGAAATGTACAAGCTAAGTCAGCACTAAAAAGGAAATAGAAGGTGATACCTTTTATAAAGATAATGTAGAAAATTTCAATGTGATTTTAATAGTATTTTATTGAATCCTTACCCTGTGCTATGTCCTTATCGGAGCTGTTTATATATATAAAACCTAATTTAAATAATAGCCTGCAGATCCCCATTTTATAGGAGAATAGGTTTCAGAGAGGGTGAGTAGCTTTTTCAAAGTCATACAGCTCTGAGTATCAGACTGTCAACTTGGAACCTGGGTCAGTATATGCAGACTCTGTCCAAATGCTCTGAGAGTTTTACATGCATCAGGTAAATAACAGCTGATATAGTATCACTACAATTAATAAGATTATCTCCAGGGTGAGTGAACATGTATTTGCTGAGTACCCGCTAAGGTGCCAATGGCTGAGGACTGAAGCAAGGAGCTTCAAGTGTGTGGAGCCCCAGGGGTTTCCACAGGACAGCCGGGGCTTGTGCTCACCTATGTCCTAGGTTGCACGCCACCCAGCATGGCCCACATGGCTGGAGACCTGTGCCCACTGGTGCCAACTGCTTGGAGCTGCTCTGGCTGGGCATCGTGCCTGTATGCCTTTCCCAGAAAGACAGCCCTCCCCCCCAGTCTCTCACTATTGCTGCTATTGGGAGTACATTTGAAAAATCAGATATCAAGATGCATGTAGGTGACGTTGTGTGCAGAAGTCATGATCCCGAATTAGTATTTCATGGGCCACAGTGGAAGATGAGATTATATCGTATCTCAGGGAGGAACCGCGTCTTATTTTATTACCCAAGTACAAAGTACCCTTGCCCCATCAGCTGGTGGGAGAAGGCTGGGCTTATCAGGCTCCAAAGAGCAGCAGGAGGACTCTTTGGACACAGAGTACAGCTGGCTTACTCTAGCCCCTCGGTAATAGCGTCCTGCCCAGAACTCCCTTCGGCGGACACTTGGGTCCCAGGCTGCTGGGATTTGCTTTTCAGACTGACCTAGAAATGCTCATGTTTGAAGAACTTGGATTGGTCTCTCCCGTCTTCTTTTCTGTCTTTGTTCTGGTGAAAGACCTTCTCTGGACTGGGCTGTTGTTTCTTCTCCACAGACACCTGCTTCAGTCAGGGGCTCTGACCATGGAAGCCCTGCAGGACCCTCCCCCAGACCCTTTGGAGGGCATGGAAGAAGATATTGCGGACAAGGTAGGCCCTGGATCGGGAGACCAGAGGACCACCTGTGGACAACACGGTCCCAGTCTCAGGACTTGTGCTCGGGGTGTGGGCCCACATTGGGGTGTATTTGTTGAGGTGCATTTGGGGACCAGGCCTCATCCTGGCAAGCAGATAGAGCACATCGGGAGTAGTGACAGCACCACAAGGGCTAATTAATTAGATCCTCTGCCAGCCCTGCCGGTCTCTAGCATTTCACATACAAGGTAGAGGGGACTGCGACCATGGGAACAGAACAGTGAGCGCCAGTGGCTATCAGCCCATATTTGTATGTGTCAGCTCAGGGTGCACTGACTCAGAGACCCAGCTCACCAGGGCCCATGGAGGCAGGATTTGGGGGCACTGGAGGTTTTGGGGAGGAGGGCACTCACCCCATCAAACAATGTGTAGAATGGGCTGTTCCCTGAAAGAAACCTGGTAAATGGGTTATGTGGGGACAGGCCATCTATGGTAACAGCCCCAGACTTCACAAGGACCAGCTTCAGAAAGAGGGGAAGAGGAAAGTGGCAGCACACACCTCTCACCTCTTTCTGTCCCCCCTCACCTCCTTCTATACCCTTCACCCCATTCTGTACCCTCACCCCATCCTGTCGCCCCTCTTCACCTCCTCCTGTACTCCCTCATCTCTTCCTGTACCCTTTCCTGTCTCCCCTCACCTCCTCTCTATAGCACCTACAATATCTACTTTGCAGGTCTCCCTCTGTTTATCACCTATGTAGGTATCTGTCTCCTATCTTGTTAGTGAGCTCCCTGAGAAGGGAGGTACCAAATCCTGGGGCCTTTCTCTTCCTTGAGTCCCCTGCCATGTGCTGTCTCCATGGGCTGGGTCTGGCAGAGAGCAGGCGCCCCACAAGCCATTACAGATTCATCAACAAAGGCACTGTTGTGGCAACTTCAGGCCACCTGCTGACATCTGCACCTGTAGTTTTGAGGCCATGGCCTGTTCCCCGTCCATATTGACGGCTGTGGGGGACATACTACCTCTTTTATGGGGATAGTCTCCATGAACAAGATAGGCCCACTGGAACCAAATGAACACTGTCTTGCTACCAAGGTTGTCTTCTTGGAGAAGCGGGTGTCAGAGCTGGAGAAGGACACCGCTGCCAATGGGGAGCAACACAGCCGACTGAGGCAGGAAAATCTCCAGCTGGTGCACAGGTGAGCATGGCTGCTGCGCAGAGGTTGGCTCCCACCTGCAGCTGCTCTCCATCCTGCTGCTGGGAGCCAGCCCAGGGGATGGTGCGGGGTTGCCTTTTGAGCGTGGCTTCAACTTAGTACTGTCTTCAACCCATTTAGGGCCTCAGAGGAAAGAGTGTGGAGAGGGCACCGCCTCACCCCTCCCTCAGGAGCAGTGAGGCCAGCACCCACACTGCCTGCACAGAGTGCCTGGTGGAGGGAGCCTGATCTCAGGGGTGGCAGAGGCCACAAGGCGAGAGGAGGCATACTGGGGTTCCAATGTGAGGCCTCTGGCTGGTGTCCCCTCTCTGAGAGCCCATCCTGGGGAATAGTATTAACCACAGGCCTTCGTTCCTGGGCTTGGGCTCCTTGGCTGTGAGAGTTGCTGTGATTTGCTCACTTCTCTCACATGATCTGGTTTCATCTTTACGATCCCTGCGAGGCAGATACCACTGTCCCCATTTCACAGATGAGGAAACCAAGGCTCAGGGAGATTACATGATTGCCAGGGCCTCAGACAGCAAGGGGGGGCTTTGGGAGTGAGAGCCAGTGCCTTCAGAGCCCTTTGCATTGGAAGCATGACCTGTCCTTGGGACATGCAGGTCCTCACAGATACTTAGCCACAGAAACAAGAAACGAGTAGGAACCGCTGGGTGCATGGTGGGATGCACAGTCTGATTCTGATAGTGAGAGCACAAGGAGGAAATAGCAGACGTGTGAACTGAGGAGGAGCCACTGTGAGCATGGAGGGGGCGGAGGTTACTTCCCCACTCCTGCTGTGCAGACTTTTTATAGAATCCTGTGTGAGTTTCAGTGTCTTGAAACTCGTCATTCTGTGTAACCTCATGCTGTTTGCAGCAACGTGCTTCTCGTGCAGAGCATGAGGAGCTTGGACCAGACGCATCAGCTGCCAGGTGTGCTGCCTCAGTGCATCTGGTGTGGTAGCCAGGCAGGGGGGAGTCCTGAGGGACCTGAGAGGCGGGGAGCATGGTGTGTGGGGGGTCTACACAAGCGGGCTGCCTCACACTCTGTGACTGCAGGCAAGAAGAGCCCTGTCTTCGAAGCCTTGTTTTCGCACCCATGACGTGAACAAGTGGACTCCGAGTGCTTTTAACAGCATGGAACATAGGCCCACACACACTCCCATGGCATGCGCATCATAGGCATCAGGGTTATGCTTGGTTCCTGTCGTAATGTTTTCATCCTGGATGCTACTGATACATCACTTTATTTTCTTTTGATCCTCACCCAAGGATATTGTTCCATTGCTTTTTAGAGAGAGTGGAAGGGAGGGAGAGAGGGGGAAAGAGAGAGAATAACATCAATGTGAGAGAGACACATTGATTGGTTGCCTCCTGCATGCCCGGGGCTCGAACCTGTAACCCAGGTATGTGCCGTGCCCTTGACTGGGAATTGAACCCATGATCCTCTGGTGCACAAACCAATACTCTTACCACTTAGCCACACCAACCAGGGCTACATCACTTTAATGAAGTTAAAACGAGTTCTCTTGTGCGGTCGAGACCCTCTCTCGGGGTTTGCACAGGAGGGCCTGCCCCAGTTCCTGCGGATGTTTCTTCTCGTGTTGGCCCCAGTTCTCCTAAACCGCGTGCTTCTGCTGCAGTTTCTTGGTGTTCCCATGTGTAACATTGTCAGCCCACACCAGCCCTGCGGCACAGCTCTCCTGCCACCATCCCAGGAATTCCACATGCTTCCTCTGCATTTGGTTCTTTATTTCCTGGATTCCCCATTTTTCTTCATATTATGAGGATATCACCCATTGCTGCCTGGGGAAGGGTGCGTAGGAACAGGTTCTTTGAGACCTGGCATGTCTGAGACTGTTTCACCCTCCACTGACAGTGGGGCTGCGGCTGGGGTTCTACTTGGAAGTAGGTTCCCTGAGAACTTGATGGCCCTGCTACCTCCAACCCAAACTGTGGGTGGGATGCCTGGCACCGCTGTGTAGCCCTGTTCTCATCCTCAACACATGAGGGCTTCCTATTGTTACCTGTGCTGGGCACGTGGTTTTCAAATCTTAAATCTGGAAAGTGTGCCCTCAGCTTCAGGAAGATTTCTAGAATTTCTCCAGTGTCTTACATTTTCTTATCTATCTGAACTTCTATTCCTCAAATATTAGACCTTCTAGACCTTTCCTCCCATATCCTTGACTTTCCTATTCTTTTTTCCCCTCTATGTAATACCCTTGGTTTTCTTCTTCAACTCTTCTATTAATTTAAAATGTTTCTCATATTTTTAAAAATATATTTGTATTGATTTTAGAGAGGAAGGGAGAGAGGAGAGAGATAGAAACATCAATGATGAGAGAGAATCATTGATAGGCTGCCTCCTGCACATCCCCTACTGGGGATGGGGCCCATAACCCAGGCATGTGCCCTTGACCAGACTCAAACCCGGAACCCTTCAGTCCGCAGGCTGACACTTCTATCCACTGAAGCCAAACCAGCTAGGGCAATGTTCCTCATAT